AACTATTCAGTCTAGACACCATTGGAAGAAAAGTAGAGTTTACACCAATTGGCCATTCCGAAATTCAAAAGAGACTGGGAACGAGGATCAAAATATTACATTTGTCTATAACTGAACCTCACCACATGAAATACCACACTAAAATATGGGTTCTTGTCAAGTTTGAGCATATTTGGTTGAATACTAACCAAGTAGGAATTTTTTCAAATTTGTAAAATGAGAGAGAATGTATGGTTTTTGGCGACGCTGCTCAAAACCTGCATACATTCTTTGTATTTTTTTCGAGTTTTTGAACGCTTGAAACTCTGTAATTATTAATCCGAATACTCTCAAACTCAGCAGCTTTACTAATTTTAGTATGCTCTCTATTGTCCTGGTGTCTGTTTTTGATTGCTTCAAACGGTATTGAGTTTGTGACTAGTCACCAGTCCCTTTTTGAATTTCGGAACGGGCAGTTGTGGCTAAGAAGGAAATGAAGCATGGGAAGAGAAATAATTAGTACAGTGATACTAGCATTTTAACTCATTTTTACTAATATTTTTATACTGCTCTCTGCATTACTTTACTAATATAAAAGACTAACGTCCTGAACGTCATTATTAAGTTATAATTTTCCATACTTTATATGGTGTAAAATTTCTGTATTTAATTATCATCGCCTTTTTGAGAAATGAGTTGATGAATGAAACTCCATGTCAATGATTTCACCCTTCAATTTGACAACGTACGTTATTCAATTAGATGTAGTCAATTTTGATGTAAAGATGGTAACCTGGTGCGCTTATTAAATAAATAAAGACTTTTGTTTTGAGAGGGTAGCACGTAATAGTCCTTAGACTAATAAACTTGTGGCCCTCTATATATTCACTCATACTCACTACCTCAACATTCATTATTTTACTACACGACAAAGCTCCTCACAGCTAGTTTTTGACTGAAGGAGGAAAACCAGCGGACCTGGAGAAAAACCCTCGGAGCAAGGAAYAGAACCAGCCAACAAACTCAAATCACATATAGTCCCGGACCGGGAATCGAACCAGGACCACAGCGGTGATAGACCGGCGTTTTAACCGCTCGGCCATATATATGTCTGGTTCAATATGAAATACTTTCTCAAAACATTCTTTAGATGATAACGAATGATATTTTGGAAGATCATCTCAGTGTAAAATTCACCATTCACAAGTATTACCACAGCAGAAACACAAAGTAGGCAAGTAGGGACAACTGAATGTAAAGGAGATCCAAGGATGTGGTGAGCACCCCTACCCCCACAGGCTGGATCCGACACTGACGCGATACATTGTTTCTGTTCAAATTTAGGATCGATGTTTCTCATTTTTTTATCGCGTGCGATAAACTTGGCACGCAACAAAATCCTCTATTGCGAGTTGAYGAAAACTCGATGTCACCTGACAAGTAGGGGTTGTCATACGTATTCCATATATGGTATTAACTAACAAGCGTATAGCAGTCCCTATAAACAAGCAAATAGAAGCTTGTTAGTTCATACCATATATGGAATACGGACCTATAGTTGCTTCTATTCGCTTGTTAGGGACCGCTATACGCTTGTTAGTTAAATACCATTTAGGAATACGTATGATAACCCCTATTTGTCAGGTGACATCATATGACGTCATAGCAATCTATTTCCTGATCTAAACCCCGTTTTGAAAAACCCTGGATTCGCCACTGGAATTTAGAAGTTTTGCACGACGCGCAAACCATGGCCCCTAAGTATCATCTCGTATACTTTGACATCAGAGGAAGAGCTGAACCAATCCGCATTCTCTTTGCCTTGGCTGGTGCTTCTTATACTGAGGAAAGAGTACACCCAAGCGAGTGGCCAGCGTTAAAAACAAGTAAGGGTTTTGTAAANGCGACAAGCATGACTCAGGGTTTTTTTATTGACTTTCACTGATCACGTGATAGTGTCGTAAAAAATCTATTTAGAGGCAAAATTAGAAAACTTTTATTATTTTGCTCGAGAGAACATTTTAATTAAAGGATCGTTACGAAATTTCGAGCCAAAATAATGATTTTTAACAGAAATACGAGCGATCGAAAATTGATAAGAGTGTATGGGATTATTATCATGCGAATGGTCAAGAAACACCTACAAAAAGCTTTGTTTTGAGATTCAAATGAATTTTTTAAGTCCAAGGACCAAAAAAGCATATAACTTCCAACAGTTATGCAAAGTTTGAATCCAAACTGTGATTTTGTAGCAAAAATATAAGCATATGAATACGGTCTTACTTTACAAAAACAATCGTCTGACAAAGAAATGTATGGGACAGCTGCGCCTTGACCTACATTGTAGTTTGATCGGCATTAACGTGGCGGACCGTAACTCCGAGTATCGAATTGAGCTCAAAACTAATGATGTTGCTTTACATTTACAACAATATCATTGTAAACATTTAATTTCATGCTTAGACTAAATTTTCGAAGATCAATAGGCTTTTCGAGTATTTTTGGCGTGTATATCAAGTCGTGTGACAGTATTGCGTGATATATTTTTTGAACGTTGATAACTCAACGAGTAAACAGCAAAAAAGGTTTAAACATTCACCTAGAACTTCTATCATGCTCTACTCAGTATCAAAATGTTGTGTTTCTGTGATTTTAGAATTTTTGGACTGATGACGTTATGTGAAAGTCGACGGTCACACGGATTGCATGTATTCCCTCACTATGTCTTTTTGAATAGACAATTGCACAAATAATTCAGTCTCCAACAAAATAATAAAGTTTTTAAAGCATTTTAAGTGCTACTTTCTTCCTATAGTGCAATAACTTAAGCAAATATTGTACGTGGCATGCGCGACTGCGCAAATCTAAAATTGCGTGACATGCAAACATTTCGCTTGGTGCAAAGCAAGATCACATTGTGAAATACCAAGACGTGTTGACGTTGATATTTAAGGAAGTGAAGGGGCGGGGATCTACGACAGGTAAGTGATAAAACCCGAATAGTGACCGGATAGTGCGAATACCGCGAATACTAAGCGAATACTGAGACCCAATGTGGGGGGATGAATATAAACGGCTAGTATCTAGTACTTGACTACTTTCGCACTATTTTCGCTTTTGCGCATTTATTTATTACATTTTTTTTATTTTTCGCTTACTAGTATTCTGGTATTCGCTTAGTATTCGCGGTATTCGCTTAGTATTCTCAATTCGTTTAGTATTATTCGCTTAGTATTCGCACTATTCGGTCACTATTCGGGTTTTATCACTTACCTCTACGACACAACTAATATGAAAAATGCCATTTCATTTAGACAGTTAGCATTGAGTATATCCTGTCAGGGGATACATTACATGAGTTTGTTTGTGGATAATTTCCATCCCCCATTTTATTGTTAACAGTGAACTGGATTATCTATTCTATTAAATTTTTAGGAGCTTTATAAGTTGTGATTGATTATGATTGGCATTGAATTTTTAAGTCATGTCATACCACCTCATTGATAATCATATAATCTGGTGAGAAACAATTGGAAAACAATAGATTATCTTCAAGAAAAGAAACCAAAAATAGAAAACAATAGAAGTACAGCACTATAAAGGGAGCAATCAAAAAGCCCCCCTCAACACCCCGCCATTAAAAAATCCTGTATCTGCTTCTGCCTCCCTAGCATTTTAAATCCCTAGCTCTAACCTGATAATTCCCCAAATTGAAGCATATCATAAAATTATTTTAAATTAAAATAGGTGGACGATGCCCCTTTGGCCAGGTTCCTGTGTTAGAGCTTGGAGATGGAAAATCTCTTTGTCAATCAACAGTTATCCTGAAATATGTGGCCAATCAACTTGGTATGTTAGTTATTATATTTATTATTGACTATATGCTTTTGGAATTTATAGTCTCATTCCTAGGATAGAAAACAATAATTTTTTTTTTTCTAAAAATAAAAAAAAAATTAAAGATTTTGAGAATAATCAATTGACTCTACTATAATTCTCTAAGTCAAGAGGATCGTAGTCTCATTTGCAGCTTTAACCCTTTTCCAGAGACAGGCGGCAAAGGCCGACTTAAATGATGGATGATTCATGTATATAACTAACATTCCATCATGGGTATCCTCCATATGGATTCTAATGATTTGATATATTTTTGGAACCTGTTCACCATTTAATTTTATATAGAACACATTTTCATTTATTCATGGATTCATTGATGCATTATCCATTTTGCTATCATATGCATTCTATATTTTTTTCCTATTTGTATTTTTAGCATTTATATTATATTTGATTCTTATCTTCAATCGTTGATAATTTGGTTTTACAGGCTTTAGTCCCAGCGATAACTATGCTAAAGCACAGGCCGAGGTGTTTGTAGATTCTATTAAGGATTTTCAAAATGCATTGCAAAGGCTTGCCCGGGAAAAAGCTGCAGATCCTAAAGTAAGCATTGCATTTCAATTCCCCTGGCATGCCAGCTGGGACATTAGTGTATATTTAGAAATTTAGTGCTGTCGGATTGATATGACTGATTGTTTGAATGATTCATTGATTAATTGATTGATTAGTTGATGGATGGAAGGATGGGAGGGATGGATGGATGGATAGGAGGATGGAGAGATGGATGGATGGATTGATTGATTGATTCGTCTATCCATTAATTGATTACAGGACGAGAAGAAGTCCTCTCTGTATGATGCAGAAATTGCTAACACTCTGGAATTCATAGACAAACTTCTTCAACAAAACAATGGTGGTAAAGGCTATTTAGTAGGAGACAAGGTTTGTACTAACGAATAAAATCTTACTTCTTGACTGAAGTGACAAAAATACCTTCATTAATTGAGAAGATTTACTATTAAAAACAGACGAGTAAAGTATACAAAGAGCTCTTCATTTTTATAAGTATGTCAAACAATGTTTTCCTGTCAAAAGTATCCACTGCAGCGCATGCCAAAGGTGTCCAAGAGCTGCCAAAGTAATTAGACTTCCAATTGTTTCAGTTATCCTTTGCAGACAATTACAAGCAACTATACAAACAGCTCTTCAWTTTAWAAACGTAAAACGATGTTTTTCCTGTAAAAACGTATCCACYACACTGCATGCCAAAGCTAGCAATTAGTAATTAATATAGACTTTCAATTTTTTCAGATATCATTTGCAGACGTATGTTTTTTCTCTGTTTTTAATGACTACTTGGTTGGAGGGGAGCTCAAGGTCCCAGAGCAGCTCAAAAAGCATCCATTGCTGGTCGATTTGTACAATCGTGTGATGAATGAGCCTAAAATTTTAGAATATCTCAAGAAAAGAAAACCTAATCCTGACTGGTACTCCTTTTAAAGTATTCAGTCCTGGAGTCACCATTGGAAGAAAACCAGTAGAGTAGTCTCACACCAATTGAAAACACGTTGACTTTAAAAATGTTATATCCTTCAGGTCAAGACTGAAAGGWAGCATGTGTTAGGTTATGAACTTGTGATTGTGTGACATGTTTGTTAATAAATTAGTACAGCATTATGATCAAGCATTTTAAGTGCTCTCGACATGTACTTTGCTCGCAGTGGCGGATCCAGGGGAGGTGCTTTGGGTGGGGACGCAGGCCATTCCGAAATTCAAAAGAGACTGGAACGAGGGTGAAAATATAATTACAATTTGTCTATAACTGAACCTCACCACACTAAAATATGGGTTCTTGTCAAGTTTGAGCATATTTGGTTGAATACTAACCAAGTAGGAATTTTTTTCAAATTTGTAAAATGAGAGAGAATGTGCTGCTCAAAACCTGCATACATTCTTTGTATTTTTTTCGAGTTTTTGAACGCTTGAAACTCTGTAATTATTAATCCGAATACTCTCAAACTCAGCAGCTTTACTAATTTTAGCATGCTCTTTCTTGTCCTGGTGCCTGTGTTTTGATTGCTTCAAACGGTATTGAGTTTGTGACTAGTCACCAGTCCCTTTTTGAATTTCGGAACGGGCAATTGTGGCTAAGAATGAAATGAAGCATGGGAAGAGAAATAATTAGCATTTTAACTCATTTTTACTAATATTTTTATACTGCTCTCTGCATTACTTTACTAATATAAAAGACTAACGTCCTGAACGTCATTATTAAG